TTTTTTCTTTTTCTTTTTGCTTATGTGGTGCTGAGGAATCAAACCCAGGGCCTCATGCATGCAAGGCAAGCACTCTACCACTGAGCCACCTTCCCAGCCCTAAAAAAAGTTTATTCTTGACCAGGCCTTTCTAATTGTCATTCTATTTCCTCTCCTTCTCAGTCAAGCTTGTGAAAATTTTGTTTATTCTCTGTATCTCTGCTTTCTCATTCCTACTTAGTCCTTTGAGTTTTTGAGTAGTGACATAGTTTTTATAGTATGTGTAAAAAAGCAGCTGGATTTTTTTTTTGTCAGTTTTGGGGCTTGAACTCTAGGTCTGGGTGCTGTCCCTCAGCTCTTCAGCTCAAAGTTAGTGTCCTACCACCTGAGCCATAGCGCCACTTCTGGCTTTTTCTGTTTATGTGGTTGCCGAGGAATCGAACCCAGGGCCTCACACATGGGAGGTAAGCACTCTACCACTGAGCCATCTTCCCAGCACCACTGGATTTGTTTTTTTTAAATGTCAGAGTTCTACCCAGGTGCAGGTGGCTCACACCTGTAATCCTAGCTACTCAGCAGGCTAAGATCTGAGGATCGCAGTTCAAAGCCAGCCCGGGTAGGAAAAGCTGTGAAACTTTTATCTCCAATAAGCCACCAGAAAACTGGAAGTGGTGCTGTGGCTCAAGTGGTGGAGTGCTAGCTTTGAGCTGAAGAGCAGAGGGACAGCGCTCAGGTCCAGAGTTCAAGCCTCAAGACTGACCAAAAAAAAAAGTTAGAGTTTTATTATTTTATCACCATCTCTTTTTGCATATTTGGACTCATTTTTTTACTTAAGTGTTTCTTTTCTTTTGCTTTAACATATCTAACCTTTATCAACCTCAACTTGAGACCCATAGTCTGTGTCTTTACTCTTGATTTTATAGTGACCTACAAGTTTGATGAATTTTTCACAAAAGATATTAAATTATATAAAACACAGAATGAAGATAGCTGAAAGTCCAGTGACTTGAAACTTACTGAAAGTCTTTCATAGTTTTGGGCTGGATAGGAAGGAGTGGTTCTGGAAGGACTGGGGCCTTCATTTCAGATGATAATACATCAATAGAGATTCGCTGCTTTTGTCTAACATCAAGGCAAATTGGTGGAAGGTCTCTGACTGTAAAGTATCAGAAAGCATGCAATGTAACTCATCATCAAAAGTTACCAAATGCCATGCTCACTCAACATGAACAGAAAGCAAATTATTATTTTTATTAAATTCTGTTTGAGATCACATAATAGAAAAACTTATCAGAGTGAAGGGCACTGACCAGCAAACACTTATCCTCTCCTAGCTACATCACTCATAGCACCTTGATCTGTACCTTAATGTGTATATGTATTTTAGTTTTAGTGAAAGTGATAGTAAAGTTTATTAGAAAAAGAAAATACTTTCAATAGACTGAAAGCAGGCCATCTCTAAGGTGATTATAATTTAATGTGTATATTTATTAGAGTTTCTTCCCTATCTCCATTCCCTCCAAATCCACTTAGCAATGAAAGTTAGTTTTTTTCCCCCAATTGCCTTTTTAACATTGTCTTTCAAGAAATATTCTAGAGAGGCTCAGTGTTTTTAGTGTTTATAAGCTTTAGAATACATTCCTATAGTGCCCTTCATAATTATTGGTGTGTCAGCATTATTTTACCAATTTAGATGAGTTTTAATTTTATTTTTTTGCAGTGCTAAGGACTGAACATAGTCTGTACATGACAGACAAGTGCTCTACCACTAAGTTACATCCACAGCCATGAGTGAAATTTTTCTTTAATATCTGCCACTATGTTTGCCTTTTTGTTACATTTTATGACCCTTACATTTTAATATAAAACAAATACAAGGAAAAATCTCACAAAAATATATGACTTAATGTATTATTATGAAGCAAGCCCAACTCAGAAATGACTACTAGTCAAGGAAGCCATTACTAGTCAAGGAATAAAATTCTAACCAGTTTTTCCCTTTGCTCTAATTATTGATAAGCTGGGAGCTTACAGGTACTTACTTCTATTTTTAATTTATTTCTCTCGAAGTTTAATTTGTCTTCATTTCTCCTTAATTTCAAACATTTCCTTCAATCTTTTGATTCTCTAGGGCTTTATATTTATTTATATGTTCCTTTTATTTCAAATATTTTTTCTAATTCTTTTCTATAATTATCCATTCCCCTTATGTAAGTTTTCTAAATTAGGACCTAAGTTGATCTTTCAAGTACTATTATCATTTTCTTAAATGTATTTTAATAAATCTTGAACTAGGATCTTAACTTTTTGTGGACAATTGTCATTAATTGCCTGTTATTACAATATAAATTTGTAATAAGAAACTATAGGTTTTGATCACAACAGTTTTCTCTTACTAATTTTTATTTTAAAATATTATTTCCAAGCTTTCAGAACCTCACTAAACCCTTTCTATTTTTATGTAGAACATAAATATTTGGTGGTTTGCTTTCCCCAAACCCCTCCCGCCCCTTATATTTTCATCTCTATTGTTCCTGATTTGATGGTAGGCTCAGTAAGGGGTCCTAGACTGAAGGAGACCACTCCTTCAGCGTTGAGATTGCTGCATGGGATCTCTACATTCACCTGCTCTTTACAGAATTCTTCCCAGTGTCAGCTTTTGTTCTAAAAATCAGCTTTCTGAGCTTTCCAGTGAAATAGCTGTTGCTTGTTTTGAAGTTCTATGGTTCTCACCAGCTAGTCCTGGTGCTTTCTTCTGGTACCTCCTGTCCAGAAGTTAACTTTATAAAGAACTTATGGTTTTGGTAACTTGTCCTTTTTATCTTTGGGGATTTGTGTAGACATTTTAGTTGATTTCATTGTAAATTATTTCCATGATCTTAAATGTTAGTTCAGTTTCTCTGCATGTTTCTAGAGAGATTAAAACCCAGTGCTGTTTCTGTAGCTACCTTCACAGAATCTATTTGTTTTGGAAACAGAAAAAGATTTAGTAACTGCATTAGCTAATTTTATCAACTTTTTCTGTCTGTCCACCTGATCACCCATCTGCCTATCACATCATCTGTCTATTAATTCATTTTTGTGTCTATACTGGGACTTGACTCAAAACCTCATGTTCTCACTTGGCTTTCTTGCTTATGGATCGTTTTCTACTAAACTGGTCACATGGAAACAAAACCTCATAGACTCTGCTGCTTGGAATGGCTTGAAATCTCAATCCTCCAGGTGTCAGCCTCCAGAGTAGTGAGGATTACAGGCATGAGCCACTTGCACCTAGTTTATTATTTCGTATTTGTATGATGTTAGCCTTAACTTCTAGAAATCAGATGGTCATATATTTCTTCTAATTATGTTTTCTTCATTATAATACATGTGAAGCACTTTCCAACAAGAAGTAAATGCTACAAAATGTTATCTATTATTTCTGGAATTTATGTTATAACACAAGAATAAAAACTTTTCCCAAGCAGCCAATTTCAGAGTGCCATTTATGAAAACACATCTCTCTTTTTTTTTTTTTTT